ATACATCTCTGCATTGACATTTTGCTGTGGATTGAGGAGTTCGAAATGAATTACTCATTTGATGTCCCACCAAATGCAAGGCATCACTTTCTGCGGATGGAGTCCAGGTTTTTGGGTCGGAAGTGGTTTTTGTTTAGGACTGAGTCATTGTTTTTGGCGTTTAATATTCGCATAGAGAATCCATTTTTCATAACCGGTGACAATTCTGTCCAAAAATGGCTCGCGCGCATTACGTGCCAGAAGAGACGAAGCAACGTTCACACGTTGGAAACGATGATCATGAGGCACCCAAACACCTTCTTTATGGAGTTTTTCATATTCCTTAGATGTTTACGTGTTGTTTCATGAGAGACATGCAATTTCAGTGCCATTTCATGAGTGTGTTGCTTTGGCTTAGACTCAAAAAACGTCTTCAGAGCATCAATATCAATTCCAACATGTCGGCCCCTGCCATCAAAGTTTTTAAGGTTAAAGTCACCTGAACGAAATTTGCTGAACCATCGTTGCCACTTACAAACGTTCAAACATTTCTATAAACTTCTTTGATATTCTTTGTGGCTACAGAGGCGTTTTTTCCCTTCTTGTTTCAAACAGTATTACATGTCTCGTCGTGTGCCATCACTATAAGGGATTAGAATATATTAAACTTTACACATTATATAGGCTACATTAACGTGACGTTTAGGCGGTTCGTTAACTAATATACATGATGTACGTTTTCCTGGGGGTGGTTAATGAAAGTGTTCCAAAACACGACATTAACTTCTTGACGACCTAATATATGAATGAGTTTCAGTAAGAACGCTAGTTGCTGTAAAAAATTAAGAACGTGACTTGTGTCTCTAGATATTGTATTTAGCCAAAAAAACATGTTATAAATAATAGAACGTTTTTCATGATTGCTTTTTAAATATTTCTTTGAAATATTATTTTTGGTTATGAATCTTTGCAAATATTGAAAAGTAGACGCAGTCATATTTGATGACGTCACATTTACCAAGATGGCGTCCCCGGTTGACCTATAACGACACATCCAGTGAACTTTTGACATTGACCTGACCTTGATCACATGATGTCATATCCGTCAAAATAAGCGTCTAGTGGATGCAGCCATATGGATTGGCATCATTCATATACTGATAATCACTCTCGAGCATTTTTAGATCATCTCATTGATATTATTATTATTTCTAATTTATTTTTAACAAACATCTAAGTTATTGATATTTCGTCAGAAGAAGTCAAAACATGTTGGACGATCACGTATTACTGACAGAGTGCACAATTTTAACTGATCAGTCAATCAGTTATGAGTTAATTACTTATTTTTGTTAATTTGCCAGCATCTATATTTCATGGATAGGTCATCTTTGACTCATTGGATTTGAAAGATCCCTTCAATGACTGTCGGAAGAGTAGTTTAAAGTCATACCTCTACGACAAAGCATAGTATGGTCATCCACCTTTTGTTTGTTTAAAGTCAGTTCAAAAGCGAAAATGCTTTGGGTAAACAATAATCACCAAACTATACAGTTGAATATAGCAAGGCTTTCGCTCGAGCCAGGACACTTAGATACCCCCAACCCTTTACTTAATGTTTTCAGAAGTCATTAGAAAGTATTTGTACTTTTGTTTTATTGATTACCCAATGAGTACATCATCATAAATTAAATTATCGCTCCATCAAACGATTCAGCAAATGTTTTTTTCCTCTTCATAGCTGCTGGAACAGCTTCCAGCTCACCATATTCATCTGCATACATTAAATATCGTTTAGTTTCTAAGGCCGACTTGTAAATGTGTGATGTCTGAGTTGCTTATAGAATGTTCATTTTCATAGATATTCTTCTTTATTTATTTTCTACTACTTGGCAAAAAGTCTTCGTATATCAAACACTTAGCTTCACTTAGCATTTCCCTATACACCAACTTGCCAATTTTTGTTCCTACTTCTGTTTCGATATCATTAGCTAAGGCCCAGTAATAAACTTAAGATAAAGGACTATTTTTTAAGACCCCATTGTCCCTACTAGTTGCTTTTGCATTAGATTTATTATCTTGAAAGACTTTACCTTTATTACTTCCTTTGTAACTATAATTACTCGGAGCATCATAAGTGGAAACTCTCTTCACGGATTAGTTGCCACTAAAAGCTTCAACCTCTTCGAAAATGTTTTTTTTATCATCAACCTTGACAAAGATGTATATTTTTAATAGAATTATTTACACCCTGACTGCCATCCTCAATGGATGTTTATTCTAAATATCTCCTTTTTACATCAACCTCGACAAATATGTATATTTTAGTAGAATTATTTACACTTAATGGATGTTTATTCCAATCCATGTATCATTAATTTTACGTGCTTTTCAATTAAATTTTGGCGTAAAACCCTTCATACATACATACTCAGAACTTTGGTATGATTACAAATGTTCACTGCTGAAAACAATGCCCAAATATTAATCTGAGAGATACAAGTCACTTTTATACATATGGCACTGATGAGCATGAGCAGTTCAGTTATTCATGACTAGTATGGATTACATTTATCAAATTAACGTGCTGCTCATGACAATCGTTAGTTTCTCATAAAACACTCTAAATCAGGGTTATTTACCTAACAGCGACTCCAAAATAGTGTGGGATATGTTTCTCATTAAAAAAAAAAACACAAAAAGAACCAATCAACCAGTTAAGCGTGAGGGGGAATGAAATATGCTTCGTAATCCCACTATGTTTTCAGTTTGTTTCTCCTGTGTATTTTTATGAATGCTGTATACCCAGAGTATTTTTTTAATTGACTATAAACAAAATATAGGCAGGATTACTATACCAAAGGACGATGCCTTATCATGAAAATATGGTTTTAAACCAAAATTGTCCGATAGTCTGTCCTGATTCGTTGTGTATTGAAATCAGGGAGAATCGTTCCAGAAAACTTAGATACGGGTACATTAGTTAAGGTAAGCAGTTAACTCATGATTCTGATTGGTTAACTAAGTTGAAACTTGTTCTGTTGCTTGAGAACCTTACTACCCCATAACTACTGATGTCATTTGGACTTGTTCTATTGTGAGATGGTAGTGAAATATTAATAAATTAGATTTTCGTTCATTAATAACAAATCTTTAATAATAATATGTATATGTCCTGTTCGCTATTGTTAGTTCCTTACTGCGGATGCAAAATAACTTGAATATTTGATATGAAATGTTAACTCACAATATTATCCTAAAGCAATAAACTTTACTGTAGTTTTATTACTTGCAGCTCAATCGAGATCGTTACTGGGACAACCCACGTTTGGACCACACTGTATATAGTGTTTATGTAAATCTGAAAACCTCTGTATGCTTACATGTTAATCTACGGTATATGAAACCCCTTTGTTTAAAAGCTTTATTCTAAATACCAACAAATCTTATTATCGATCTTGTTAATTTTTCATTTCAGAATGTTTAGGTGGGTATGCGATAGAAAAGCTATGTTATACTTTTTTGGACAAAGGTATGACATTTGGCAATGCTGTTCTATCTTGCGAACGATACCTCTCGATACTTGCCGTGGTAAAGAATAATCAAACACTTCATGTTCTTCAAAACTTAATTAAATATCGGCCACCAGGTGGGGGACTGTGGACAGAAAGAACTCAGACTAATACTTCAGAAGAAATCTGCGACTATTACATTCCTGGCCTGAAAGTGCTGAAAACTGACCAGTGTGGCGCTAAAAAGGGTTACATTTGTCGCTATAGTCTACCGATTTTTTCAAGTAAGTAAACATGTTGTAAAAAAAGGTTCAATCTGGCTTAAACTAAAAAACAAACCAAAACACACCACTGAACAGTCTTACAACTGTATATAATTTTTCCGTCATGACTTAGTATACAGTGAGCTGATTTATTTTGTTTGTCCTATTTGTAGGAACTCATTATCTTTGACCTCGTCATAATATGTGTGTGTTTCATTTTTCAAAATGATTATATATATATGTAGTACTTGTTCACTCCCTCAACTTAGTAATACTCAGTCCCATTGAATTTAATTTCAAACCTTATGTATATTGCTTCATACATTTTATAAAAGTTAGAAGTTGCAACAATTGGAGTCAAGAATGAAGATATGCTTCTTTGATAGACAGTATTAACTAATAAAGAGGGATTGAAAACACCATTTCGATGGAATGGAAGGACATGAAGCAATAAGAAGGTGGAAAAAAATTAAGAAACAACTGTTAGTTCCCCTGTAAGACAGCGCTAAGTCAACGGATGTACAAGCAAAAATTCGAGGTTTGATTCCCCGCGGTGGATACAACAGATAGCCCAACGTGAATTTGTTCTAAAAACAAACAAACAGTTGTTAAAAAGGAAAAACTGCGTCTCATAAGAAATGTCAGCGGTAAAAGGTGGAGCTTTAAGATTGTTTGTTGTTTTCATTTCGCGCAAAGCTACACGAGGGCGATCTGCGATAGCCGTCTCTTGTTTAGCGATGAAAGACTAGAGGGAAGGCAGCTAGACATCACCACCCACAGCCAACTCTTGGCTACTCTTTTACTAACGAATAGTAGGATTGACCATCACATTATAACTCCCCAACGGTTGAAAGTGCGAGCATGTTTGGTGGGATGGGGATTCGAACCCGCGCATCTCAGATTGCGAATCGAGCGCCTTAACTACCTGGCCATGTCGGACCGAGCTTTAAGAAAAAAAGAGTTGGTTATGACACTTAAGTCAGTAGTAAAAGGTGGAGCTTTAAGTGAAATGTGTGTTTTTTATGGCAAAGCTATATCGAGCTATCTGCTGTGTTTACTGAGGGGAATCGAACCCTTGATTTTAGCGTTATAAATCCGTAGACTTACCACTCTTCCACCGGGGGACTTTAAGTGATTTGTTTGATTGATTAATTGTTTTTTGTTTGTTTGTAATTAAGCACAATGTAATAATGAGTCCTGTTACTATTAGTTTACTTGGATGAACGTTTCTTGGTTTGGCTGCAACCTTGGGAATACTTTTTAATTATTTGTGGTGCTGTTTAATATAAAACATTTGTCTTATTTTCTTTTATCTTAAAACACATTATTTCTTCAGTCTCGGATTAATTTGAGTTTTAACTATATGAAAAACTGTTTTAAAGACCACAGTTGAACTAGATTTCGTAAAACAAAGCTAAATTATGCTGATACTATGTGTGTGTATATATATATATAGCTTTTAAACAATGTTTTCAAACATGTAAAAATGACATTAATAACTATTAATTTTTGAAATAACAAGGCGTTGCATGATGTAGAACATAAAATTACATAAATTAAAACATATATATATATATATATACTTATATAACTTCCAGTTAATTTTTCAACTTACCATTGAATAATAATAATTTGTGTTATTTGAATGTTTTTGGACTTAACAATATTAATGAAATGTCTTTAATAATAATTTCTTTTTTAATCATTTTACTCAATAAAAATATAATTAGTCACAAAAACTAAAGAAAATCAACGTTGTTCATGGTGAAATCAAAGGTAAGATGCAACTTGCATGAATTGTCTATCACTCCAACTGTTCCAAGGTAAGATGCAACTTGCATGAATTGTCTATCACTCCAACTGTTCCAGGGTAAGATGCAACTTGCATGAATTGTCTATCACTCCAACTGTTCCAGGGTAAGATGCAACTTGCATGAATTGTCTATCACTCCAACTGTTCCAGGGTAAGATGCAACTTGCATGAATTGTCTATCACTCCAACTGTTCCAGGGTAAGATGCAACTTGCATGAATTGTCTATCACTCCAACTGTTCCAGGGTAAGATGCAACTTGCATGAATTGGCCTCTACAAGTTTTTGGCATTATTCATGACAAAGAACATGTCCAAGATTACCAACAGCAGATAAAACCACATTTCACTCTCATTTCATTGTTCTGTGATCCACTGATCGATTTTTAGGCCTTTCATGACACCAGACTTTGAGTCAGCTGGAGGACAACATCCTCATGTAAATAATTAACACAGGTTTTTTTATACTGTATGTAAAATGAACAAGGACATGTTTGAATGTAAATGTAATATTTACATAGGTTTGCGTGAGTGCATTTTTTGAATAATATATGTGTGTGTCAGCACATTTACGTGATTGAATGACATATAACTGGGCAAAACAAGAGCAGCTGAAATGTGAATTATTATTGAATAGACCCCAAATGAAAGAGGCGATCACTTATTATACGTGTGTATTGAATAGTTTTTTGAATACAAGATAATACTTTTTGTAATTTAATCTCCTTTTTTTTTGCTAACAATAATATATTGTAAATATACACGTTTTTTTTCTTGCACATTACCACCAGAAAATTATTTTATAACTTTCTTCTGTGAAAACCAAAAGAAAATTATTGTTTTAAATTATGATAACAAATACGTTTGTTTAAAACAGGGCCCAAAAGGGGTTGAAAATTTTCAGTTTGACAAAACTAAAACGACAGCAATGTGTAACGAATGTTTTTGACAATAATTCTTATGTACTTGTTTTGCATGATTCAGTTATGTTGGCATAATACCTTGATATTGGTTTGTGTGAGAGCCGAGAGTAAACTGTGAAAATATCTAAACGTTGATGAGTGAAACAATTCATGGTACACTGACCACACGATTTTTAAATTACATCAAATGTAGAAAACGTGTTGTACGAGTGTTTTGTGAATGTGCTTTCAGCAAAGTACAGTTATACAGTAAGTATAAAAAATTAGGAAACATATATATATCCATACCGGAATAAAAGTAGCTCAAGAAAGAAGACAGAATCCTCCTTGCATCACGAGGAAGATGGCTCACCAGGAGGGGAACCAATATTCGTCATTGTGCCCACTCACGAAAACGAATGAATCTGAAGAAAAATGTCATTGAAAAGTTAGTGTAATTACCTCTACATAGCGGAGAAAAGGTCTTGTCAACAATGGAATCCCTAATTTTGCCCATCTTTAACCAAAGAACCAATTCACACGATTGAAATATAACATCAGATTTAGTCCCAAAAATAGTTTCATTACTATTGGTTCAGGACTTGCATTGTAAACGTTATTAAAGTCAGCTCAAAAATACTCGAGAAGTGGAAGATCAAGCGACAGAGCAAATATCTATTTATGGGGAAAATAAACATTCAATGTAAACAAGCAACTTCATAGTTAAATTTATTAGATCACTCTGAACTGGTAGTAGGAACACAAAAAATAACTAACATCTCTTACACAGAACTATTAAATGATGTCCAAGTTCAAAAGTACGTATGTTATTTTCAAATCCTAAAATACGGGCTAACTAATCCAACTGAATCTTGTATCCGAAAATAACAACCACTAGATCACTGTTAAAAACTTTATGATCTATATTCCGGAACAATAGTTTAGTAACTCTTTATCAAAGAAATCATTTCCAATGATAACCTAACCTAAGTAATAATACAAAATTGTCCCTGGTTTCACTAATCTAATAATTGAAAACATAACAGTTTAAAACGATTTGACTTCGTATTTATCATAACGTAATATGGTGATCATATTCATAGTAAAAACCCTTTATAAGTAAATATCGATTGTAAATACAAAGCAAATGGCACATATTACACCCATGAAGTGAGTCATTAAGAAGAAGACAGCTTTATGAGTCCTAATTTTAGAAGTTACCTGAAACGTTTGCCTTTTATTTTACATATGTTAAAATTTTCTTTCTTCGTGTCACATATTGAATATTTATATGTATAACTTGAATAACGAGAGATATTTTCATCTTGGTTCTTTGTTCAGTTTTACACTATAATTATTTCTTTAACCTGACATATTTTATCTATTCTCGCTTATCTTTATAATTTACGTACTTCTGGTCTGACTTGACCAGTGGTCGACTCATACACCCGAGACAAGTACATCCACTTACTTAAACTATCACTAGTTAATAAATGGAAAAGCATCCTGTGTGTAATCATAGGGAATAACTGCAAAACAGATCGAATTCCCTAATCTTTGTCTTGTGTCCTCCAGAAATAAATAATAGAAAATGAATGGAGAAGAAAGTACGTCTTTCATTCATCAGGTAAATAAATAAAGAGTAAAAACGAGCACGCAATAAACATGTAATTAAAATAAATATAGTGAATGGAGAAGAAAATACGTCTTTCATTCATCAAATAAATAAATAAAGAGTAAAAACGAGCACGCAATAAACATGTAATTAAAATAAATATAGTGAATACAACAAAACAATTATTTGCAGCACGTATAACATATGGAAATAAATAACAATGAACAATAAATGTAATAAGTTAATTTTTATCTAGTACATTAAAAAAAAAAAGCATTTATATTTAAGATACTTCGTTACAGTTGAAATATATTGGTATGTTTGCTATGACGTATAATGTTTTAATTATCTGGTTTAAAAGTTTAAAAATGTTTTGTATTTATGGACTTGTTTCATATATCAAGTACTTCCCTTATGAACTTAAAAAACGAGTATACACCCTTTTAAACTGAATTATTTATAATATTATTGTTATCTACTATACTGGACATTTAAATTGAGAGTATAAGAAAGTTCAGATTTGTGGTTATCAAAAAACACAACAGCAATGCTTCTGAGTCCCCCCAACGTTTAACTAGTATTTGTTTGTTTGTTTAAGAATTTTCTTGCATAGTTACACAAAGGCTATCTGCGCATAGCTGTCTTTAATTTTCAATTGATAGACCAAACGGAAGACAACTGGACAAAACCTTCA